AATATGTGGGGTGGGACACGCGCTAAATGGGTTGGGTGGCAATATGTGGGGTGGGACACGCGCTAAATGGGTTGGGTGGCAATATGTGGGGTGGGGCACGCGATGTGAACTCCATGGTACTATGTGGCCCAGGGCCCAGCCCAGGGCCCAGGCAATATTAACCGGGTTGGTTGGCATCCCGTGAAGGGGGTCATAGTATGTGGACCGGATGGCACTGCAGGGCAGGGTGGGTTATACAACCGAAAAGCCAAAAAAAAAAAAAACGAACCAGAAAACCAAAAAAAGCGGAGCCTCACTAACTCGGACGGATTCATGTTGCCCCCGGCGAGCTAAGCCAGTCCTCCTTAATGTGTCTGACAGGAACTTAGGCCTGGTTCTTGCTGCATCTAAGTGCTGTAACTCCTGTTTTTTTTTTTTTTTTTTTTTTTTTTTTTTTTTAAAGCTGTATTCTTCTCTCAATTTCACCTCACACTACCTACCTACCTACCTACCACTTCTCCTAATTGTAGGCTAGCCATACGGGGAACCCCGTAGCAGCCAGAACCGAGTTCACGAGAGAACATGAGGGGGCTGGTCCCGGACGTCCGTGAACTTGAATGCCTTATTCTGCGTTTTTCAACATGTCAGACAACGATATACTGCCCATCCCGTGACACCTTCGGAAATTTTATCAGGATTGTGCACATGCACGAGAGATCCTGAAGGCCACTAAGCTGCGCCATGTGTTGCATTCTCCGGACGTGTGTGCATTACACCCTGACCCTCAGGCAGCCGGCATTATTCGCATCTGTGACAAACTTGTACCCCCAAGAAGGGTGCAATTCTGTAATTTTATGGAAGTTGCCTCGAGTGTCACTCTGGGCCTGCGCCTACCTGCTGCTGCTGATTGTCCTTGTCGTCGGGCCGTTCCTAACTGCACTGATCTGGCTGACGGCCATGTTGTTTCCGCCAACTATGATCGGATTCCGGATGCTAACCTCCGTTGCCTGTTCTATGAGGGCTCTAAATATAGACTGAATGGGGTAGTGGGGGATATACTTCAAGCACTGGCTGTTGGTATTGATGAGTATATTGCTGCATAACTTCGTCCAACAGCACGACAATCCTGCGCTGCTACCCTAGCTTCACAATTGGCTCTTTGGCGTGCTTCAGTTTTGCATTACTGTGAGAGCAATATTGCTGCTGCATCACCTTTGCGACAGCCTCGCTTTTTGCGACACGCACATACGGCCCTGCGTCAGCTCCAAGAATCCTTTGCAATTGTTCCTGTGGATAAAACATCTCATAATCTGGCTATTTGTTGTAAAAACTGGTATCGTTTTAAGATTTCTGCTCATCTTGATAGTCCTACGTATTCTCGGCCCGCTGAAAGAGCGGCTGACATTCTGAATAGCCATGCACTTTGGAACAATCATTGGAATTATCCTCATGCTGACACATTGCCGTATCTTTATTGTGCTCTTAAGGCCCATAAGTCTCCTCCCACACTCCGTACTATTCTTGGTATCACTGCCCACAACAATCTTTCTTCTTCTCATACGGCCCAGCGAAGTGACCTGCGCCTTTCCCAACGAGTCCACAGTTTGCATCACCGACCGCCTCACAAGCCTGTTGCTAGTACGACATGTACGTCGGCTCGTTTGAGTGCGGCACTTCAAGGCGTCATCCGTACTCTCCGTGAAAAAGATAATCAACTCTTCCAATCCGAAGGTATTCGTCAATGTTGGATTGTCCAGAGCAGTGACGAGGTCATGCTTGACCTCAAAAAGAATAAAGCTTCTCTCCGAGGTCTGGGCCCCCATACGGTCGATTTCACTACTATGTATACTAATCTTTCTCATTGACGGATTCTTGACAATGTTGCTGAGGCTGTTGATGAGGCCCATGCCTATGCTCTTGCACAGGCACAACAGCATACACGGACACGCTCATCCTGTGTTGCTTTTTGTATGAACGTCTGTGGACCGCGTGCAGGGGAATGGACTACGGATACGGGATCTGACACTCTTTCTGTGTCTGACATTCTTCAACATCTTCGGTTTATTGTTTCTAATACATATCTATATACAGCGGATGGCCTTGTTCGTCATCAAGACGTGGGTATTCCCATGGGTACAAACGCTGATCCTGAGGTTACTAACCTTACACTCTATTGGGATGAGGCGCAGTACGTGGACAACCTGCAGCGTGTGGATCCCTCTGCAGCTCGCCGATATGTTTTCACGTATCAGTTCATTGATGATGTTCTTACCTTTGGTTGTCTGCCACCATCGCCAACCTATTATGGTCTTGAATGGAAGGAGACCACTGCGGCTGATGGCTCTTGCACTTTTTTAGGTGCGAAACTGCAGACACGAGCAGCTGGATCTCTCCGATTGAGTGTGTTTGACAAGACAGTTGCATGGGATTTTCCTGTTATACGATATCCTAGTGCAACGTCAAACATTACGTCTCATCAGCCTGCAGGTGTGTTCACCGGCCAGCTTACGCGGTTTGAGCAGATTTGTGATAATTGGCATGATTTTAGAACTGCGGCGTTCACCGTTTGCTTTCCCGTGGCCATGCTCTTTCAACATTGGCCCGTGGATGGACTTGTTACATTCGTGCTCGCCAACGTTGACAACCTATACATGTAACTCGTCTTACACAATGGTTTCGACGTATGCTTCGCTGGTCCGTGAATCATCCTCTTCCACCTTCTCCTCCCCTTTCTTCCCCTTCTCCTTCTCCCTCTCCCCCTCCTCCTCCCCCTTCCTCTTTTCCATCTTCTCATCCTCCGCCTCCCCCTTCTTGTCCATCTTCCCATCCTCTGTCTTCCCCCTCTTCCTCTCCACTTCCC